AACAGGACTTTGCCTCCTATACACAAAACAACACTTGATCCAGAACTTAGGGTAAACATTCTGGTTGAGAATGCAGCACACCCAAATCCCTTCTCCCACTCCTTTCTCCCTGGGAGCTCAGCAAGTTCCTGCGCCTGAGAAAGGTTTTGTCTCTGTCTCCCGAGATAAGTGTCCACTCCCTTAAGATGATTACAGATCCCTCCCCTCAAACCCACTGGCCTTTAAGACATTAAACCATCAAGACCACCCCCCACCGGCACTAACTGCACCACCCTCTTTGTATACATATATATATAGCTGTACGACACAATAAGTCTCTCTCTCGCATTTGTCTCCATCTTTGCCTTCTTCCTTTCATTGACCCTGGGACCCCAATCCTCGACCTTGCTGGTCAAGGCCCCTTACAGTAGGCTGAGGGTGGAGGTAGAGGGAAGAAAGCAGGATGAAAGAAGTGGGCCTGGAGAAGATGAGACTGGCCACTGGAGCGTGGCCGTGTGAGGCAGTCTGAGCCCAGAAGAGTTGGCCTGGGAGAGTTCAGGTGTGGTAATTGGGCACTGAGACTCTAGGTGAACTGGGTGACGTGGATCTCAGAGTTCCTGGACCACTTCTAATTCAAATGAAAAGTGTAAAAAAAAAAGTGTAAAAAGTTTGTGTGAAACATTTTGTCCATAAACACCAACAATGAAAGATGGCTGGAGGAGGAAGGAGGCTGAGGCCTACAGGCAACCTGGAGGCTCACATGCTCTGACCTCCACACCTCTGTGCCCCCCGCATGCTAGCAGGACCCTCCAGATGGCTCAAAGTTCACAGGAACCACAGCGAAGAGTGAGTTCACCTAGAGAAGGAATAGAAGGAAGCAAATAAGGGATCAGGAAAAAATAATAATAAAACAAAGCTAGTAGGCAACTATGAAAGAGAAAGGGAGGAAGAGAAAATGAAAAGGGATAAGAACAGGGGACAGAAGAGTACAAGGGACTAATGTGATGGTTCATGGGTGAACTGGTGGTGGGAATTTTATGGGGAATACACAAATATGTAAATGATATAAAGGACTAAAAATAAAAAATAAACGAAAACGGTGGTATAGGGTGATTTTGTTTTGTTTTATATTTCATCAACTATAAATGCTTGGTAATACCTGAGCTACCAGGATCTGTGGCTTGGGGCCTGTCAAAGATCTAGAAAAATCTCAACTAATATTCCTTCAAGTATTTCTTCTACTCCTTCTCTCTTCTCCATCTTAGATTCCCATTATGTCACCTTTGGTGACTCTCAGAGTTCTTGAACATTGGGGTATGTTTTTTCATTCTTTTTCTATCTTTGCTTTTCAGTTTGTAAAGTTTCTATCAGTTTATCTTGAGGTTCACTGATCCTTTCAGACTGTACAGTCTACTGAAGCCGACAGTCATCCTTCATTTCCCTTAAAATGTTTTTACTTATCCTATCTCCTGTTTCATAGAGTTTCCTTATATTGTCCATCTGTTCTTGCATGTTGTCCACTTTTTAAATTTGAACTCTAACATATTAATCACAAGTTAATTCCCAGTCTGTTAAACCTAAAACCTCTACCAAACTTAAATTCTTTACAAATTACATAGGGCATCCATTGATGCTGCGGGTAATACAGACAAATTAAAAAATAAGTGTATACCTTTTTTCTCAAATCTATACTTATAACAAAAAAAGGAATTTGGGAGAAAAACTAAAGCAAGTTGTTGCTTTTGGGAAACAAGATTCAGGAAGACATTTACTATTTTCTTGGTAAGTAAGAAAATGGACACACGAATGTGTTACTACAATGATAAAGAAAACAAAAGGTCATGGAAGACCTTGAAGGACAGGTGAGGAGAATGTTTTTATTCTTAACTACAAAGCTTTTCAGTGCAGGATCACAAACTTAGCATTTTTCTTTTCCTTTTCTAGAATATTCCCTAAAACCAATGACAAAATGCTAACAATATTAGAACCCATGTGCTCTATATTTTGGAAGCAGCTCACAGCAGCCCTTTTAGAAAGGAATCATAATTGGGGTGCTTCCTACTCCTCTTGGTCACTTGATATTTGATCTACACTGCTAGCAGAAGGTGCTAACAACCTCTGAGTAATAGAATGTTAACATCTCCTAATAAGCTGGACACATACACAGACAGTTATTAAGAAGTGATTTATAAATTGCATAATGCTGTCCTTAAGATTTAAGGATGTGCTTGGCACATGCACAGGTCTATGGGCGTCCTGTCCTCAGCTAGTACTGCAGACCCACTGCCACAGTGGAGCGTCAACTATTCACAGAGAGGCAGAGAAAGAGCCAGGTAATGCTCCTACAAATCCCAAGTACAGTTCTCACCAGCACACAGTTGCCAGCTAAGGCTCCACAGTTTCACTAGCAGGAAGGGGACCGGATAGAGAGGGGAAGTGCAGATTGAGAGATAGGCTTAGAGCTGGACCAAATGTTAAGAAACATCCTGTGAGGGGACATGACTCAAGTGAATCCACACTCCCATTTGCCAGCAGGTCCCTATGCAGGAAATCACAGGGCTGACCAGATCTTGATATGCCTCCCTCCAGCACTGGGTCCATTCCAGCAGGATTCGCTCCAGGGCAGAGATGTGTCCTCCTGTGACTACCAACCCCAGGAGACTCTTCCTTTCAGCTAGGGTCATCTTCTTGTCTCCAGAAAGAAAAATGGAGGAAAGGTACATTTATCAACCATTTCTTTCTGAATCACTGTTGGGCTTTCCCTCTTAGTGCACATCATGCCATTCCATCTGGAATGGAGTATTCAGGGAGCTGTGGGGACTCCAGCAAGGAAATAGTAGAGAATCCATACCAGCTCCCTCCTGGCTCTTTCCATGCTGGCAGCCTCCATGGTGGGAAATCTAAATTGCAAGACAACACGATTATCCATGGTGAGTCCACTCTCCATTCTTCAGCCCAACAGTTCAAATTTGCTGTCATGATGAAATGTGTTAATTTCCTAATTTCAGGGGCAAGAGAGGATATATGCAAGTATCCCGAAACTGAGTGCTGTGCCTCATCCAGTCCTCTGTTTTACTCTTTCTTTCCTTTGTGTATCATTCAGGATCCTAGCAGAAGCAAATGGCCTAAAGAGAATGAGTTGCACTCTGCTTAGAGGACATTTACCAAATGGACAGGTTTAGTAACCCTTACAGGGGCTGGTGTACTTTTCCTACTCCCCAGGGAACGTAATAGCAAGGAGACTTAAAATATCTGAGCTTGCTGAGTGAGATAAGCCAGAAAGAGAAAGAAAAATACCGGATGGTTTCACTCATAGCAGGAGTATAATGGACCAGGCGAGAAAATAACAAAAATAAT